GAGTATCTGGTATACTTGGAAGTGGTTGCTAAATTATTGTAAACACACTTATTATTATATATAATACTTTTTAAAGAAATACACTATGTACCGATATATGATAAACATATTTCACATGAAAATTTGTTTACATATATTATGTGGGATTTTGGGGTGTGACCGATCAATAAGAAATAAATAATACCTGCAGGCATTATTGGTAATTACTAAACTTTATTAAATCGTCATAAATATAAAATACATTTACATATTATAAACACAATAGGAAAAAACACAAATACACAATGTTACAAGCTTACAACGCACGCTCTATTTTCTCACTGAGTGACTGCTCACTACTCTTGTCTACACCTATGACTACACACCCTTCACACACTTAATGTACCAGGATGACATCGTGTTCTGTAGGACTGAGACCCCATATTCTCCTTTTCTTGAATGACATCCACCTTGAATGGCAACTACTCTATTCCTCTTTTTCTTCGTTTAGATTCTCTTTTCACTTATGTTGAATTCTTCAATGGGAATTCTCCCATACCCATTTTCATTACATCATATATTTTTGCTCCGGACCGTTTGGTCACACAGTATGGGACCAGGTATTTGGGACTTAACTTTGAAGGAGGCAAGAATTGGGTATGCTTAATGGCTACCAAATCACTCATATTGTTTAGCTTTTGTTCTTTTTTTTATTGTACGTTCTTTGCTGTCCGAGTTGTGTCTTCAATATATTGCTCTTGGCTTCCTGTATCACTTCTTGATACTGTTCTACATGGCATCACAAATATTCTTGCTTCATAATTTTGCTCAATTGTACATTCTTTGGGTGCTTCAGCTCAATGCCAAATTTTAATTGAAAATGTGTCATCCCGATGCTTCTCTGGAGTGGTCGTCACTAAAGTGGTAGAGTGATCCCATAATATCGAGAAAATTGATTGATTTTCAGATTCCACTAGCCACAGTGCTTGTCTATTTCCTCTTTGGACCAGACATAGTTATTGCTTCTGGTGATTGTCATTATAGATTATCAATTATAATCACGTAAATAATTACGGATCGGAACCAAGTTATTATCATATTATAACAACACTAGTTAAGCAGTGATGCCAGATGTCTAGTAACGAATTTCGTGGAGTGGTAATCAATATTATGATAGTTGCTTAACGAAGTAATGTAAGATAGGTCAAACTTCGTGACAAACCAACATCTGACAAACACGGTTTTTTTTCTTTTAAAACCAGAATTCACTAATCACAATTCTTACAAGTTTCTTATTCCAACATTGCTCGACTATAGTAGTATTAAGTTACGAATAGATAAACGACTGTATGACGGGAAGGAACAAGGCCATAACTAGGTGGTTTCTTAGACTTTTAGTCATATGTCGCAAGATTGACTCCTCCGTGCTTTGTGACGCGACTAAATCCCGTCCCAGTGGGTGAGCTAGGCGCCCAGGCACCAGTCAGTGGCCCAAAGGATACGCATTTATGGTATTTCATGAGTTTCGTATGAAGCGTTGGAGGCTTAGTGTTATTACCCCGATCGAGCACCCTTCCTTCTACTAAGGCGATACTTCCACAACCTCCACGAGGCCATCCACATAAGTCACGGACGCGCGAAAGCCCAGTGGGCTCAGGAGCAATCAATGTGAGCGCCTGACTGGTCAAACGTGCCATAGTTAATCGGAGCACTGTTTGACCAGTGAGCAATGGGTTCCCTCCGATTCCCGCAGAATGATATTTAGGATTTCGTTAATCCGGGTACTCATAACGAGTTAGTCATAACGTCGGGGTAGGATTTGTTCATCTACCTTGACACTGCCTTATTTTTGAGAGGTACGGTTTTCTGCTAGGATTTCCGTTCCCTCCCCTAGTTTTTCTTCGGATTTATAGTGGCTGATAGTAGATGACTGTTTAGGTCTGCATTTTGGTGTGACCTCTCTTCGAGTTTTGAAAGTAGTCGGAGGTCCACGGGCAGGTTGTTTGAGGTACCTGTGCGGGTTTGCTTTTTCCGACCAACTCGTTTCAATTTTCCATTTCAACGTTCTCAAAGGTGTGTCGTAAGGCTGTCAGAAGATTACATTGGATTCTCGTAATCGCTCCTATTTTCCTCACTCGGATATTTTTCTCGTGTGGAATAGAAGGGTATCCCACTTTCCCTTGGCCACTATAAGTTCATTCAGGGCCCCGTATTGGAAATTTACTTACATCACAAATAGCGTCTAACGAGGTGACAATTCATCAGGCCACCCAAGTGTGTTGTGAGAAAATACACTTAGCGCTTGAAACTCGACCTCGGTTCTTGTTATGAACTCTAACTTTCACGGACATTCCTCACCAGCCGCTCACACTGTGAGTTTGAGTTTTTTTTTCTTCTGGTTCGCAAGCTGGCATTCCATCGGAAAATGCTCCACTGTTCCATTAGGGAACCCACACTGGCAAGTTGCATAGGCTCTAAGGCTAAAACGGTGGAGAGAAGCGTTGAAGTTCCCATGGCCCTACATCAGCTTTGACGTGTAATGGTCCATATTGCATCGCACACGGTCCAGCAGACGCTTGACATTAGGAAACCACTTCGCCGTCCACCTACCCCTCTCACTGACGACCCACCCACTCTGCCAGAGGTTAAGGGTGTTGTTGCCTACCTAACCTTTCTAACCTCGGCCATTTCCATCGGCATAGTACTTCTCCTAACTGTGATCCTATCCTTCTCAATCCTGGCTATTCGTAATAATTCCAGGTCGAGAGGAAGTACTCCAGCTAATACTTTCAGCGCCATTGTTGAGGTGGTTTTGTACGCAAGTGTTATCGATCGTAGTGGGGTCCTTTCAGTTCTTCCTGGGCGGTGCCCGTTAGTCATGCACTTTGAGGCCCACCCAGAGGCCGCGTAGCTCATTTGCGGTATGAACACTATCTTTTTTTTGCTGATAGAGCTCTCGATACTTTTGTGCTGCCAACAGCACAACTTTACGTTAGCGAAAATTCACCCTTATAAAAAATGTTCAGATTGGTTTTTTGGACACTGTTGAACCACTCTGAAAATTTGTTGGACATTATTTTGCCGGTGGAGGTTGAAAATGTCATTGTATGTATAAAATATAGTAATATACTAATATACTCTAAAAGTTTTACATACCCACAAATAAAATTACTAAATACAACTAAAATTATCAGCCTTGTTTTTTTTTTTTTTTTTTTTTTTTAATAGTTAACTTTACGTTATCAAACTTTGTTCAAACAGTGTTAATGTTTGTTTGACTTTTTAAAAAAAATTATCTTTGCATAAAGCTTAATCTCTGTCAGCAACAAAAGCTAAAAAAGGTCTACCGCCAAAAATAATGTCCAAAAAATTTTCAGTGTGGTCCAACAGTGTCCAATAAATCAAGCTGATCATTTTTTATACCGTGAAATTTCGCTATGGTAAAGTTGTGCTGTTTGAGTATAGATGGCAGCACAAAAGTGTCGAAAGCTCTAGCGACTAAAATAAAGTCCAACAAAGTCTGGGAGTAATCCAACAATGCTTACCTAATCAATGCATCAAATGCCGTTGATGGTTTTGCGGTTATAGGTTAATAGTTATTGGCGTGTATTCTTGTTATTATCTGGAAAGTCCAGTTATACGTCTTAATATCGACCTAAATTTTAACTTCAGATATTAACTGTTATTGACAAAATTTCATAAACTTGTTCCTGGCATAAAAATGTGACTTTATGGTTATCAATTCATCCATTCATGTTTATAAAATATTTCAAACAAAAGTATTTTAGTTCATATTACTGAACATATCACATTGTTTGTTGAACTCAATAATATGAGTATTAAACATCTTGTAATAATTACAATACCCACAGCTATTGTGGCACTAAATGTAAATGGTGTACATTTATTATGAATGTATCTGAAATTTGCAAAAAGAATTAATAATTATCCATTGAATAAAATACTAGATAAAATGATCCGTTGTGTTATAAGTATATATAGTGATGGGATTAATTTAAAAACTGTAAAGAGAAAAAATAATGGTTGTCTACAACAAACATATACTCGTCTGGAACTATAGCATTTAAAATTGATCATTTTAAACAACTATTATATTATTTATTTTTATTTTTATTTTTATTTCTAGTGTCAGCATTTCATATCATCGTAATAAACTTGAATTATTAAATAAGTTTTACTAGCAAGCAATAAACACTGAAGCAGGTATTATAACATTTTAATAAAAAATAACTAGGTACTTATGCATATTATGTAATATCACATGCTAAGAATAAATAGTTATTTTGTTGTGAAAATGTTGAATATTTTACATATCGTTGTATAATGTTTATTATAGTGTAGGTAGGTACTTTACATGTGAATAAACATAATGTATACTAGAGAGAAAATTAGTACAATAATATTTTTTTATGATTTTATTACATCATATCGATAATATATTATTATTATGCATAAAGAAATGTGTCATATTTATATGACGATGATATTAATATACAAAATCGGGGAACTCACTCTGTTATACAGTAGGTGTCGAGTAATACACCTCGCCATTTAGTAGGTAGTATATAACAGTAATGGATCTGTTAAATTTTAATTCATTGAAAAATAAACCATCGCACATGAAAAAACGATTCTGAGCGTAGACTGTCAGCCTAAGGATGTTGGTCTTATAATTGTATATTGCTATTAGTAATATTTATTGTTCTAATAGTAATACGTAATAATAATATTATAATAGATTTAAATATTTAAAAAAAAAATTAAATTTCATAATTTGTATTTTCATTTTCTATACACCATAAAATTTTTAAAATATTTTGACTCTTTTTGAGCTGTTTACATTGTCATTTTTCAATTTTTTTAGTTTTTTTTTTCTAGAATTGTCAATAACATTTTTTTTGTTGGGTGAAAATGCTTGAAAATTTAATACTTATAATATATAAGTAAAATAATATAAAGTGTAAAGTTATGTAAAGTTAATATATAATTTAATACTATCTTCACTACATTTTTTTTTAGCAATCACATTAAAATGTGCTGTTATCATGAATTTAAAATTTAAATAGTACCTAAGTAAATATTAAGTTTTCTTCTTTAAACTTTATTTAACTTAATTTATTTCGTATCATAATTATGATATATTCATAAATTATATACTTACATAGAAGCAAGGTATTATTGAATATTATGTAGTCAATATTCTGTACTCTATAACATACAAATGTTTTATATATTTAAAAACAAGTTTTTAATACATATTTTAGACTCTGAGTGCTTTGATGAATGTATTGATTTTATGATGAGTTGTATTTTTTTTTTTAAATGTTTAAAATTTATAATTTAATTAATATATATTTGTGTCCGTCATCACTCATCTGTTTCATTGTTATCATCGTTTGGGGCACTAAAACTGCAGCTTCGATTTTCTTCATCAGTGTCTTGTTCGATGCTAAAGTGAATATAGTTTATACATTGGGGAGGTAAAAATTAAAAATTCCCAATAGTTTTCAAAAGCGCAGGAAAAAAAAACCAAAAAATCAGTACATTTTAAGTTTCAATTTTTTATTTTTTTTTTTATATGAATCTCAATAAAATATTATTTGTTGGGTAAAAAAGGTTGGAGATTTAATACAATGCTAGGAACCTGTTATCTTATTGTTACAATGATATTTGAAAAATATGAAGACTCAACACTTTAACATTACGTTCAATCTATACACACCTACAAGGAAGGGATGTACAAAAATCGTTCTATATAAGGATGTGAAAAATCGACACAGGTAGCCAGATCGCCAGTCCGTCGAAGGAAGACAGTGAGTTTCAAAGAAGCCTCAAGACACAACGTCCACGGCAGTATATATTACGATATATTTTTTGGCATTTAAACAAATTCATTCATACTTGTATTTATAATGAGTCATTCAAACATACGGTATGAGCTTTGTTACTTATCTTGTACTACTCACCAAATGAGTTTCTTAATTATTTATTTCCATCAAACTTAATACTGTCTGCTATTATTTATAGTTGTTATATAATAATACACTGAATATTTTATAATTATTATTTATTATTTATTTAATTAGACAAGGATAAAACCATACAACATAATATTTTCACAATATATCTTATAACAATAACTTGTTTATTACATTTTAAGTGTGCGTGACAACATGATAAAAGATATAGTGAAAAACCAGCTTATCACTTATCATTATCACAGTGTCCACCATGTAAATAGTACCTACATAATATTAATCGTAGGATTATATAAGAGCAGTTCTTAGATCATGTTACTTTAGGGTTGTTATTAATGTCCTATATGGTCGCATCGAACGTAATAATCTCTAAAGACTAATAATATTATTTAGACAGGAGTATCAGATAAGATTATTATTTAAACCATGGGCGTAATTTGGAGTACTTTGTAACTTAAATTATAATTGAGCCATATCAATATCATATATAGAGCACACAGAAAAGTATCTCTTAATATACTATATAAGTGTTAAATATGTACAAATCAAAACACTTATTATATATGTATTTATGACGCAGTGACTTCGAGCATCGTAAGTCAACGCCGCATCCACGAATACAACTACATAGCTAAACAAATTATAATATTTCATAATACATTTTTACATATACATTATTATAAGATACGAAATATAAT